GACCCCAAAACACAATTTCTGCGATAAGTCCACATCTGTCCTCTCCCCTTCGCTACAGACAACCAAAGGGGTGCGCAACAGACAATCAAAGGGGTACACAATCTAACACTGGCAGGAAATCTTTATGACATGCCTCATTTGGAAGGTCATCTGGATGTTACAGAATCTATGATATTTTTAATTATTATTTAAAAGAATATTAAAAATTTACTTTTGGTTTTAAAAAATAACTTGCAAATTCCCAGGAAGATGTCTTTAATCTGTAGTTTAAAACACATTGTTTCCTCAAAAATCAAGAAAATATTATATTTTGGTGAAAGAATTGAGTAACTGTATAAATATTATAATTTGTTATATGGGAAAAAAAACATGGTTTCCTAATAAAAGCGTCTTGCCATAGTATCCAGAAAGATCTTAGACATCACAGACCTAACTGTAAGTGCTCTGGGTGCATTCTCTCTTCAATCCCAAGAACCACCTTATAAAGTAGGTGCTACTGTGACAGGTGAGGAAACGGAGGCTTGAAGAAAGAATGAAAGTGATGGAGCAGCACCTAAACTGATTCCAGCAGCCGTGCCCCCTGCTCTTTCCAGACCAGCCCTGAGAGCCTCTGCAGATGATGGCCAGCCACGCACAGCAGGGATCCAGGGGAAATCAGCTGGGGGAGAGAGAGACACAGAGGGAAGGTGGCATTCTCAAGGAAGAAATGACAGGACCTAGTGACAGGATGGATGGAGACAAGAAGGTAAGTCCCTGAACCTGTGAGCCAGGAAGAATGGCTGGCCCGGCCTCCAGAAATGGAACTGCTGGGGAGAGAAGCCAGTGCAGGGGGCCAGACCTAAACTGAAACACGGTGGGTTTAAGACAAAAGGGACTTATTCCAAGTGGGGATGGATATCCTCTCAACAGATCACAGGCGAAGAGGTTGAAGTCTCATTACACAGGAATTATGTTTACAAGGCATGAAGATTATTTCAAACAGACAAGGTGGTCAAAAGTGTCCAGCACAAGGGAATTCCCTGGTGGTCCAGAGGTTAGGATTTGGTGCTTTCACTGCCGGGGGCCCAGGTTCAAACCCTGGTTGGGGAACTAAGATCCCACAAGCCTCACGCATGGCCAAAATAATAAAGCGTCCAGCATAGAAGAGACGGAGAACAAAGATAGGCAGGACAGGACCACTGAATTCTGAACACCTGTGACTTTACTAATTCCAACAGACCAGTGCACAGTACAAGTCAGGTCTGGGACAGGCAAACACGATGGCGAAGAAACAGGGCTATCTCCCCGTGACAGCACGTAAGGACTCATCCAGGCAACAGGCATGCCCACTGTGTCCCAGATACTGTCCTAGGTTCAGCCACAAACAAAAACCCCCCTGCTGGCATGGAGCTTAAGTTCTGGCTGAGGAGACAGAGAACGAGCAAACAAGGACACAGTCTGGAATCAGGGGGTGATGAATGTTCTAAGGGCTAGGGAAAAAAATAAAGCAGGATACGAGAAAGAAGGAAGGGCAGGGGCAGGTATCTGAGATAATGTCATCTGGCGATCACAGAAGGACTGACTGAACTCTAAGAGGAGGTGACAGGATGAAACTCAACTTTTTAACCTAGAGAGGCTTGAGAGCATTCACTCCAAGTGTCTGCTGCCTAGTAGACCAGGCCCTGCAGTGGTCTAGAGAGACCACAGTAAACACATGTTTGAAGGTATCTGAGCATCGTGCACAGATTGAGGGGAAAACTGATGTCATCAGGAACACAGAGAGGGAGGCAGGAGAGGAAGACAAAACAACCGCACCACGTGGATGACCTTCGCTTCTGAAGACCTGGATATTCTCTGACTCCATTAGAGAAGGACAGATGCTGGAGCAGTGATGAGCTTCAGGGGACAAGAAAGCAGCAGAGGAGAAAGATCTGCATCAGACTCAGCAGCCTTCATTCAACCGATAAACAGGGGTTTACCCAGCAGGACACACTGGACGCCAAGCTCATGCTCCCAAGGGGGCACCTCGAAGTGTCTCTGTTAACACACATCCCAAAGGGATGGGGCTGGGGGAGGGGACCAGCTGGAGGATAGGAAGGGGTAGTGAGGCCAAAGGTGAGGGCTCTAAGTCCCCTGCAGCCATGACAGGCTCACAGGGTGGAGACACTGCTGAGGACGGTGATGCTGGTTCAGCAAAAGGTCGGCAGATTAGGTCAGTAACCACGGTGGCATCTGATAAGTGCAGTGCCCGCTCCAACCACACCCACCACAGCTGTACGAAAGTCACTGTCTCCCCACAAAGCTACTGATTAAACCTTCTTTAATCTCTGTATCCCCCACAACTAGCAAATCCTGGGGGGTCAATAAAGGCTCTACTGAGGCCAAGCTTTCATGACAGGAGTAAACCAGGAGGGGCTAAATAACTGAGGTTCTTCTGATGGAGGTGAGAAGCCCAATAGTCTAGATTCCTGCTCAGTTGGCAGATGCATGAAAGGGGAGAGCTGGGGGGTGGGGGGAGGGGAGCTGGCCATAGCCACTGTATCACACCAGCTGTACAGCCCTGAAAGTCACTTCAATCCTGAGTATCAATTTGGAAAACAAGGGGATTGGAGCAAATCAGAGGCTGCAGACTTTCAGCGAGAGGAGATGCTTTTCTCAGTGCTGAAGGCTGGGGAGCATATGTACTTTTGCTATTGGGGTTGGGGGATGCAGGCTTCCCCTTTGGCTGCAAATGAATCGCGGAGACGAGAACATAATACAGGTATGGCCACCACCACGAGGACCCTGGAGGTTTGTCCGCAGAAGAGGCTCACTGGTGACGTGGCAGGTAAGAAGACAGGGGCTGGGGGAGGGGGCCAGGACTGCAGTGAGCAGCGGTAATGAGTTATGCAGACCTCAGACGGGAGACAACGGATGCCCAAGCAAAGACTGTGAATGAAACATCCGTGTTTTGAAGGCGGTTGCTGGAGTCTGGCTTGTACACACCCAGGCACACAAAAAGTCAGGGAGAAACAGATTTTACACAACTTGAAAACTATGAAACTACTTTAAGAGCTCTAAGAGCAATTACCCATATGCCAGACCACTTCTAGCCTTTGAAAAGCTTGTTCATTACCATATTTACTGAGGGCTATCAGACTGTATTTTGAGCTTCTGAGAAGTTTCCATTTAGAATCAGTAGAAATACCTGACACATCCAAACCCCATAATTTCCCATACCAAGCTGAATCCCCCAACGTTACAGAAAAACCCACAAACTCTGCAGAAGGGAGTGAAAAGCCAAGCCAGTCACAGGAAACCTTCCAGCTCTACAAAAGAAAACAAACAAACAAAAGCACCACAAAGAGCACTGAAACATTTCTAGTCCAACAGCTTTTCACTCAAGCTTTAACAACTTTATTCTGAAGCCCTTGAAAAGTATTAAATTACATACAGTATTCTATATTCCTGGCAGTAGCAATGCCTAAAACTTATCATAACTTAAGGCAGTAAGTGAACTCATGACTTTTAAGTCAAATTTAAGGAAGCTAAAGGCCAGACAAAACCATGTGTTTGAAAATGCCCGCAAAATAATAAATGCCGGAGGGAACTGGATAGCTTTTCTGCTTCTAAGCTAAATAAAGCCTGGGGGGCTTTGCAAAGATCCTAGTGAGGATAATCACACACCCCCAATTGCACACAGCAAACCATCCAATCAATTCTATGCAGACCAAGGCAAGTTAATCCAAGAAGAATAACAACACTTGAAATGTTGAGAAAAACACAGTTCTGCTGTTTAAAACACTCTATCGGGCTGGAGGACAAATCGGGTCATTCTAACATGCCAGAACATTTGACTGGTGAGTGTTTCTGTGACCATGTCTTGGCTTTGTGTTAACAAAGGGTCCTGCAAGACATCTGAGTTCCAACGCTCGGGCCTTCAGGTCCTCTCTCGCCTGCCAGCAGCCTCCCTACTTCCTGCACACCTTCGGATTAACTGCCCCGACTTCCTGCACAGCCCTGGATTTCGGCTACCTTCCTCCTTCAGGCTTACTCAAGCTAAGTTTTCCGGGCAGGCTCGAAGGGTAAAAGTTCGCAGTCCCTGACCCTCCATTAAAGCACAATCAGCATGTGTCGCTTGACAAGCCTGGCCGCGGCAGGGTGATTAATTTACATAAACAACTCTGAAGAGGTAACTCATCACTGCAAGGGCCTAAGTCAGCAGGCTGAACCTGACCGCTCTGGGAGCGGCGGCTGCAAGGCTGGCCCACCCGGCAGAGCCTCTGCTGACGTTCACCGCGGCTCCTTCCACGCAACAGGTCCACGCAGGCAGGGCACCAGGGCACTTGCCCACAGCTCCGCGGGCGCAGCCCCCCTCCTGCCCCGCCCCCCACGGCCGGTCCCGGAGCCCGGGCAGCTACGGCTCTTCCCGGCACGGCCCACCCGCGATAAGGCCTGGAGCACATTCTTCGGAAGATGCCGAGATAGCGCGGCTCTCTCGCGCGCTGCCCACCTCCTCCCGGCCCAGTCCAGGCCGAAGGGAAAAGGCGCCCCGGCCAGCGATCGGGGAATGCGAGACAAGGAGACCGCCCCGGGAGCCGGATGCCGCGCTCGGTCCTTCCAGCCGGGAACGGCCCCGGCCACCTGGCTCCTCACCTGCCCGGTCACAAGTGCCGGGCACTAGTACCTAGATATGTATATAAACTACTTACCGGCACAGAACGTTTTCCCAACTGCACAAGCTACAACGACTACTCAGAAAACAGCAAGTCGCTTTGTATAGAAAGAAAAGGAACTTTTCGGGAGGGGGAGGGGGAGGGGAGGGGAGGAGGAGGAGTGTGGGAGGAAAAAGCAGGTGAATGAACGTAGACGTGGTTTCCGCGGGACCTGCCCGCCG